AGCTCCATTTGTCATATCCTGATTGTCGCCACTGGCAGAAGCAGCCAAACCAGAACTCAGCACACCACCACATTGTGTTCCACCAGTCACTTAACACTGAACCTGAATAAAACGGGAATGACATAATCGAAATGTGCAGCATGTTGGAACAGATAGTCTTTTTGTCCAGACATTTCTTATCTTTGATGGTTTTCCCTCTTCTCTCACTATCTATTTTTTAACACAGAAGGCAACAAGACATCTGAAAATTTAATGTAATATTATGACATGCCATGTATAGAGTGCCCCAAAATATTAAAAGGACACATTCATTCACACTTATCAGCTCTGCCTTGCTAATTTTAAGTCTTCAATCAATGAGGTAATTTATCCCTCTCTAAAGAGGCTACTGTTATAAGAAATTTTTAGAATCATAGGATCATACAATGATCTAGGTTGGAAAAGACCATTAAGATCATAGAGTCCAGCCATTAACCCAGTACTGTCAAGTCTACCACCAAACTGTGTCACTAAGCACCACATCTACATTTCTTTTAAATACCTCCAGGAATAGTGACTCCACTACTTCCCTGGGCAGCCTGTTCCAATATTTGACTACCCTTTCCCTGAAAGAAGCCTTCCAAATATCCAATATAAACATCCCTCAGTGCAACTTGAAGCCATTTAATCTCATACTATGGTTCAGTGTTCAGAGAAGGAAGGACAATAAGGCGATTCTTAATGAAACGTGGATGTACTTCATTCAGCAGTTGAACTTTGAACAAAACAAACCAGAAGGCTGAAAAAGGTGGGCAGGAAACTTAAAGTGACGAGTCAGCTTTGAGATGTGACTTAAAATGCGGTAATGGCACCACAGCTGATCAGACTGCTGTGAAGTACTGCCTTGTGTTGGAGAACCCCAAGAGACTTCTGGCTAAAGCAGACAAAGACAGGGCAGAACATTTTCATCAAAATGCTTGCAGTTTATTATGCTTTAAAAAGAAATCTCCTATTTTGCTGTTGGGCATACAAGCCTTGCAAAAAAACAAACAAAATCAGATCAAACCTTAGATCACTTCACTTGCTCCCAAACAGACTCTTAAAATCTGCTGATAAACATCAAAGGAGAAACTGATTTATTTTTCGCTCAAGTAGAGTGTCTGGAGCTTGTGTTTTGCTAAGGAGTCTCAACTGAAGCACAGCAAATTGTGAGGAAATGATGCCTCTTTTACGTGGCACTGATTATTTGTGTCTGTGTGTGTACACATGCTGCTCCTGCTCTCTGTCAGCTGGTTTGGGGGTGTTCTGTGAGCCCCTTCATCTGCCTTATAAAACAGAAAAACCTTATTTGAGCTGAAAGAAGGATTAGATTATGTCTTTCCCCTGGCAAGTCTGTCAGCAACAGCGGCGTAAAGGAAGGAATACAAACCCAGGAATGTCTGTTTTCTTCCAAAAAACCATCGTGGAAGTATGAAAAAAACCGTAAAGTTGGGAAAAGGAAAAAAAAACAATGGGAAAGCTTGTATCACACCACTGTCGGTCCATTATCTGTTCCCGTAGAGACAGATCTGATAGACTAGACAAGACCCTGTGAGGAGACTAAATAAATAGTGAGGGTCACAACAGTGGGTCCTTTATTTGCAGAACAAAGCTATGAAATGATGGAGTCCTGGCTTCCTTGCATGGTTAAACTGTTTTAAAGATTTTTTTTCTTGATGTAGGTAAACAGTCACATCTAATGGTGACATTAATAAAGTAAGTATGTTAAGGGCTGGACACTATATTGACAAAACCAAGACTGCAGGGCTGGAATCCTACTACCGGAAAGATGAAATCATTTCCATGGTAACACGGAATAAATTGTTCCATGAAAAAAGAAAGAGAAAAGGATTGTGACTCAAACTAGAACTGCTCAATCCAACTCCTAAGTGAAAAACAAAACAAAACAACAACATCTTAAGCAGGAGAAGACAGAAATATAGCATACGCAAAGTGTCTTAATAACCTTCCTCCAGAAAACTTACTACTTTCCTGTGCCTGTAATAGCCAAGTTTTCTTTTTTTGAGACTTCTTGAGTCTTTGGGTACATCAGTAATCTTTCCTCTTCCTCTTCTATTATATAATATTTGAGAAGGTAGGTTTTGGGGTTTTTTTGGGGTGGATGGCGGGGATGTTTAAAGGAATATCCCAGGCTGGGACCCTAAGTAGAGTATATGTCATTATCTCATTGGCTTTAAAATGACAGCCATCCAAAACAAACAACTTATGACACTAGCACTGACCCACTGCAGTGGTCACTTCAGCTGCCTCTGAATTCATTTCAGCTATCAGTGTTCAGCACTGCCATAACGAGGAGCAAGTGGAGAAAAAAAATGCTAATGTGGCCTTTTTAGAGATGAACTTTCACTTAGATCCACAAAACACGTTTTTGTCCTGCTGATCTGTTCTTATTGTCTCTCAAAAGTAATGTCTTTGGGTCAGGAACAGGCAAGTGTTTTCCCACATATGTTATCAGCATGAATTAAAAGAAAAGATTAAAAGAAAAGGAAAAAGTAGTTTAAACTTTCTAAATACCTTTTACATACTGAATATGTTCAAATATGGTGGGGGTAGAGAGAAATGAAAGGCAAGGAATGTATAATTTCTTCTGACAAAGTACAATATTTTGTCCTAAAACCTGTGTTCTCACATATAGCTATATAGTAACTTCATAAATAGTTTTCTTTCCTCAGGTGTGTCTGATCTGGCCTGGATTTTCAAATGAGTTCATGTGACAGTAGCAGTGCCATGGTGCCACTTGGTGCCTCATAGCCTGCCATCCTGGATGGATAAATCTCTTTGTATACGATGGGAACAGTTCATACAGGTTTAGTGACCACACAATATTTGTTTCAGGTGAAAGCCATGATTTCTGAGTTGCTTGCACTGTCTAATCCTCCATTCTGCATCCTTTCCCTTGTTGTGCTCTGGCTGAGCACATCTTAGCACTGCAATGCTGTCACTGAATTTTAAGCTCCTTTGCGGAAGCTTTGTGTGTTCACTAGGATACTGTAGCCTGCATTGTATATTTGGTCTTCAGTTTGCTTTTATGTGAATGCTGTTGCTTTGTCTTACTAACCATTTATTTTTAATTAGTATTACATTATTTTGTAGTTCTTCCTATGAGTCACTGCTTGTTTTCGCGGTATGGTACATTTTCACTTGGCTTTTCTTGTCTGCAAACTTTGATATAATGATTTCCCTAGCCATAGCTATCACAAATGACTCCATATATTGAGTAACAACCATTAGAATTTGGGGTTTTTTTCCCCAAAAATCTTCCTTTAATTATAATTTCCTGGTTTGTATTTGTGCATTTTGCACATACTTGGTGCTATCTTTCCTTGTAAATTTTTGATCTTTTCTACTTAGAGTGTTATTTTTCTCTACATCTGTAAGAGAGTTTATTCACTAGGTTTGTTCATATCTGTAGCCTTAGAGAGTTCTGTATGTACTTTCACATACAAACTCTTTGTCCCTTGTTCCTAGTCCCTTATGAAGTATTTAATCTCCCAGGGTCTAGGAGCTGCACGAATTGGTGACTAGTGTAGTTTGATAATGGGAGGATATAGTGTTTCCATCGATCCTCAATTACATATGTCAATGCAATCAAGCACTGGGTCCTTACTCTGCTGTCCATATAATGCAATGTGGGTAGAGCATCTGACAGTGCAGTTGATCTCAGTCTGTTTCCTTCTTTTCTCCTGACCTCTTTCCATTTCCATTTGTATGCATGGGAAATTGTGTACAATTTCTAACTATATCCCTATTTGGGGTCATCTAATCAGGATATACCAGCATAATAATTATTTATCTTTCCTTTGTATTTTTGCATTTGTCTACATTTTGCCCCCCATTCTCTTCAGCCTCTGATTGTAGATCTTGAAAATCCTGATAAATTGTTGTTTCTGAAATAATTTTCAGGATTTGCAGAAAGAGTTCAAGAAGCATTGGCACAATACTCTTGGGCACATGGTGTGACTCTTGGGGAGGGTTCTGTGCAGCACCAGGAGTTGGACTCAGTGATCCTTTTGGGTCCCTTCCAAGTCAGCATATTCTGTGATTCTGATTCTGTGAAAGATATACAACATTTAGCCCTTGTGTAACACTCTAGATGTGTTTTCACAGTAAGCAGCTGCTGAAAGCACTTACTGTTCAGTGCTGCTAAATTAAAACACCAACCACAAACACCTTGGCAAACCTTGAGATCCTTAAACCTGACATCAACTCGTAGCAATCAAGTGCTCTTGAACCTTTCTTGCTAGAGTTTATATAACTATAGTATACATTAACCTTGTCCATAAAGCATGTAAGCTTAGGTACAGCCTCTCTCTAAAAGATTTATGTTATATCTTTAGAGGCAGAAAGCTTCTGAAATGGCTGCACAAATGTCAGTCTGGGTCTGACTTCACAGACCTGCATACAGACTTGCACAGTTCAAAAATTAGTGCTTTAGAGCATAGGGCCTCTGTTGTGGAGGAGTGGAGAAGCTAAGAGTACTATCCTCTTTCACAGGTTACAAGTGGGAGGAAGTGCTTCACAGCATACAGCATTACCTTTTTAAAAGGCATTTTGTTTCATCAAACAATTAAATTTTTAAGAATAACTTGATTCCCTACTCAGAGATTTACCTTAAAATTATGAAACTATTTTGATGAGGATATACATTCCTTGTTGGAGTTCAAGTTAAAAATAAAACCTCATCCTTCAGTTAACTTCTGAAATTATTAGATTATTTAACATATTGTTCAAAGCTGCTGCACTATAGTGCAAGGGTCAATAATTGGAATGGGCTGCCCAGGGAGGTGGTGGATTCATCATCCCTGAAGATATTTAAGAAGAGACTGGATGTGGCACTTACTGCCATGGTTTAGTTGACAAGGTGGTGTTGGGTCATGGGTTGGACTAGATGATCTCAGAGGTCTTTCCCAACCTAGTTGATTCTGTGATTCCATGTGATTCTGTGATGTTGTAATTTCAAAGTCTTCCAGAAGTAGCTGCAATTTCTCAAATGATCAAGCAGCTTAGGAGCTTGGATCCCACTTTCAGAGGCAACAAACACATCGGAGCCTTAGTTCCTTGATTTACAATGCTGTAATGCTCTTTGCTACCTAAACCATCCTTATGGATGAAGCTTAAACTCCTACATCTTTAGAGACTATTACACTAAATCAGTCTGTACATGCTTTTCCCTTAGTTGTTGGGAGTCCTGGTAGAAGTTTGGTAGCCTGTCAGAGACACCTGCACCCACGTGGAAGAATGGGTACATTCAACAGGTAATTCATCTCTCCTGACTGTGTTCTTATGAAGCCATAAATCACATTTTGAGGAGGTGTGTCTTTCCATTAGCTGAGTCCACATCCCAAACTTCTAGTTTAGACCAAATGTCTTTTCGAGGACTTAAAGTTAAGAAAGAGGAATTTCATTGTCAGTCATTTTCTTCTAATTCTCTGCCACGAAAATCCAGGAATCTTACCTAAACTACTGAGGCTGGTGTCTCTTCATTTATCAACATCTTCCCCTGAATTTGGTTATTTTTTAATGCTTGCTTTCTCTAGATTTAGCCATGGGGGCATACAAGAAATGTGATGCATCATGTCCTCTGGGCAGAAACTGACAGTATGTGGCTTTCTTTGCCATAAAGAGCAGAAGAAGGAAAAGCCATCTGCAAACCAATCTGCAAACCAAAACAATGCTCAGAAGGGCATGACAATGTGTTTCAGTGATCTCCTGTTTGAATATTGACTTTTGTACTACCTGTGAAAGCACATAAAGCATTTGGAGAATGAGACAGGCATTGATTAGCTTTCCACAGCTCTGCAGGTTCTCTCCACAGCTATTCATCTTGTTTGGTAAGTGATTTGAGAGGGCTGTAGCAGGAACCTTTGGGGCCAGCCTGGCAATATCAAACCTGAACACAGCTGAAAGGTACCAGCAAGAAATGTTGAACTGGACATTTTTGTTCATTGATCTTAAATACCAAGTGGTGTGGGGAAAACTGTAATTTGTGGGAGGCTGTAACTATTTCTTGTTCCTTCCCAGTCACGAGCTCAGAGAGTCCTTGGACATAGAACTCTGGAGTGACTGTACACTACTCCATTGAGGGTGGTGTAGCAGAAATATGAGGTTCAAATCCCTCGTGTTCATGATGGTGTCATCAAACCCTCACACAGCAAAGGTTTCAGGGTGTCAGGTGAACAAATCTTTGCCAGGCGAGTAATGCAGCTCACATGTACTTTCCCCTGTTGTGTTCCTGCTGCCTCTCCTCTGCAGATTTGTTTCCCTTGAAGGAACACCTGAGCAAACCATGTGGCTACACCTATGCAACTGCATTTACAGCTGAGCATACTGTGACATCTCAGCTACGCTAAAGAAGTGGTGGCTCAGGGTGGGTTCACAATCCTCTAAAAGATCCCTACTGTGGAGGTGGCAATGTCTAGGAGAGGGGTGAGCAGGGTAGCTGATAACTGGGATAACTGCTTCTGGCATCTGCTGCTGCACTTGCTTGGATCAAGTAAGACTCCCAAGGAGTCAAAGTTCTCCATATAGGGCAGACATGGACATCCAGACATTCACACATATAAACAGCACCCTGCACACCACAAACTATAAACTGCAATTTTAAATGACCCTTTCCCTCACAGAAGCCATCTACCTTATGGCACCACTCAGGATCTCGCCTCAGGAAGTTACTCATGGTGTCTAGGATGATCGCCTCACAAGAGGTTACAAAACATGTCAGAACACAATATATGCTTCAAGTAATTTGTACTCCCTCAAATAAGCTTCACTATCTTGTTTTAGATACGGTCAGAATATACAGTGATGTGCTCAGGTGCCTTAGCCCAGAATTTGAAACGTACCTGTGAGAAAGTTTATTTGGACCCCTTTCCTACCCTGGAAATTTCTTCCTGCTCTTATGGTTGTACAATGAACAAAAAGGACAACAGTTTGCAGTTCCACTTAAAAAGTTCAGCTTCAGCACCTGCCATCCCCATGGTTCATGGGGAGGGGTGGGAATCTCATCAGATTTCCAGTTCCTGTCCAGCTCCAGCTGTAACCTTTAAAAAAATGCCTTGAGGTGCAATTAGCTGCTGTACAGTTTGGTTTGGTTTTGTTCTAAGTTGCCTGAGACTTCAGAGTGTAAAAGACTTTCAGACTACAGGGATGCAATAAGAACAAGTTCCTTGACCTTTTATTCTCCTTGTAAATCATTTAACGGAGCAGACTTCTACTGAACTTCTTTAAGACACCGTCTGTTCCAGATCTTTGCAATACGGTTTAAGTATCAATCAGATGATTTAGAATTACTTTACTACAGATCAAGGCTTTAAAGGAAATCTGCAGAATGGCACAATATCTCTTGTAACCATCAGAATATATTATAAGAACACATTACTGATAGGTTTCTTTGGAGGAGGGGAGATGATGAATCTGTACATGAAATGTACTAGCCACACAAGAATTTACTGCCTTTGTAGGGATGGGTATGTAAAGGCAGACATCAACAGTGAACCCAGGCAGAGATTCGCTGTGGTGGATACTACTGAAACAATATTTTATAACTGCTCAGTGTCACATATGCTTTCCCTTGGCTGTTCCTATTAACCTTTTTTGCCCAGGTGCTTCCCAGTAATTGAGATTGCTCTGTCATGGCTTCACTGCAGTTAATCTTACATGGTGATGACCATGGAGATACTAAGGATTTATAGAGCTCAGAACAGGAATCCTGCTGTAACAGAAACCATAAAAAAAGTAACAAAAGTTACTGGGGATTCCAAGTACCCAGCATGGTCTATTTGTTTTAATAGGAGTCACTAACCTTTCCCATCTTGTACCTTTTTGCATCACTGGGACAAGGACTTAAGATGCTACATTAGGATGAAATTTGCCCCTCAGCAAAGCTGATCCTTTGCTACAATTACCAAGGGTGATTCTTTATCAAAGGTGATCCTTTACAGCAGTAATCAGATCTGCAGGTATGACAGCTCAAAAAGGAGAATACAGAGATGACCTTTATGCCCCTTTAGCCTTGATTCACTCTTGTTGGGAGAAAAAAAAAGAATTCTGCACTAAAATTAGACTTTTATTGGCCCTCTGTTCAGAGTTGAATTTCCCATCAGGCAATGGATCTCTAGGGAGAGTGTCATATGACACTGATGGCCTGGTTTACCTTTTCTAAATAGGAAAATTTTTATCTGTATTTTAACTTTACCTGCATTTTAATTATCCCTTTGGATAATTGCTACAGAAAAGCAGTATACCTCATCCTTAGCCATTTCTCCAATCTCTGGGAATGTGAGGTGATACCAAATATTAGCATTGATTACTTGTACTGAAGTTCAAAAGTTTGAAGATAGTTCTAAAAGTTATTAAAGAATAATATTAATTTTTTTTACTGAGATAACCAAGATTACATTTGGGTATCTTCAATTTTAAACTGAATTCTTATGAGAAACTCCAGGAAAATTTTATCTATCAAAATGTTCAAAATTAATCACTCTGACTTCACTGTCTTAACAAGGCAACCACGCAAGAACTCTAACTAGGCTGTAGATTTTCTTCCATGCAGACTGATGAAAAACATTAATGTTATATTACCACCTTTTCAGATTTGCTGGCACTCACTACGTCTGGGGGGAAAAACAAAAGATCCTGCTGCTGCTACACACTCCACAATTGCCCAAAGTTTCAGCAGGAGCAAAACCTCCAGTCTCTGGTGGTCAGTTTTGGCAGTACTATGCAGACACTTTCTCCCACAGCTTCAGTTGCATTTAGAAAAAAACACTTCTTTGTTCTCTTGCTGAATTTACAATGGTTCCAAAATTTTCACAATAAACAAGTCTGATTTTGGGCACTGTCATGAAACTTGTGTGCCTGAGGTTCTATTGTGGTTTGTTGTCTGTAATGAATATTTGAGAGAAAAAAAACAAAACAGCATGATACTCTACTACTTTCAAGTTGATGAACAGATGGCAGGGCAGTGAGATTATCAGATTTTAATTCTTCACATTTAATTTGTAGGCTAATGAATATTGAACAATGTTAGCTCAAGTAAGATGCAATGAATATACTTAAAGGGAAAGACTGCTTACAGGTATGAAATACAACTAATACAACCACAGGTCTCGAAGCTGCAATATTATACATCTAACTAGTATATCTGTCTGTAGAATTTCTCTTTATATATATCTATGTGCTTGCAGCATTTGAGAAGTATCAAGTTATGTTTCATATACTGATTAGTGTATTCTGTATGAAGGACTATTATCAATTTACATTGAGTAAACATCTGTATAGAGAGAACTGATAAAAGAAACCTTCCACATTTCCTTTGTCTCAGTAGCCTTTGTAGGCATTTATCCTTCTGTGAATATAGAAAAATGGATCTTCTGAGTTGCAAGTACAATTATCTTACGAAGAACAAAAGCCGTTTCACAGCTGGCTGTGATACCTGGGCACCGCTTGGGTCAGAAAGGAGAAGCAACCAGATTTAAATCATGCTTTTGACATAAGCACGGCCACTGATTTGACTTCAGAGTGTACTGGGGTCAGCGACGAATTAGATATAAGCCATAATCCCTACCACACTCTTAGTATGTGAATTTCTTTCATTTAGATGCTGCCATGTTCATCATGCATAGGTTGCCCTCAGCAGCCTGGAGCTTTAACTGTCAAAATCAAAAGTGGGGAATGACACAGGCCTTGGTGTTGCTCTCAGCCTCAGCCCTTCTGTGTGAGGCTGGTTCCCCAGGGTGATGCCCTTAAACCATTGGTGCCTGGCACAGCCATCACCAAGAAATTGCTACAGTGATATGTTTCTGACAGTACATGGACACATCAGGGTTGACTTTGAAAACTTAAAAGGTCTCCTTACACTGAACTAATGTTTCTGCCACCAGCTACACTGAGGTTCTTGAGGCTATTGTCAGTATATTGCTTCAGAGAGTGTGGCACAGGGTGAGTTTCATCATGGTAGCTTGTCATTTCAGTATACAGTGAGAGTTACTTGTCTGGAAATCCTTTTAGAGATGATGGACAGAGATGAGCTCCTCCAAGATGTGATTCACTGAACCAAAGAAAAAACTGCTTCTCTGCCTGCATTAACTGTCTCCCTATGGTTGTGGAAGAGTCCAGAGAGTTAGTTGAACACACAGTTTTTCAGTTGACTAAAGCGAGGTCAGAATTAGGCAGAAAACAGTATCTCTGGGAATTCTGACTGGTTCATTCACTCTTGAGCACACTGACATGAGGATAACTGACCACATTATGATGT